CCCCTTCATGACAATGGTGTTCCCTGGTGGAAGCACACAGTCACACTGCACACATTGATCAGGTTTGAGGAACATGATGAAGAGGTCAAGGTGTTGCTCTGGCCTCCAGATTCTCCAGATCTTAATGCAGTTGAGCATCTGTGGGGCGTGCTGGACCAACAGGTTCAGTCCACAGCGGCTCCACCTCAAACTACAGGACTTGCAGGATCTGCTGCTAAAGTCTCGGTGTCAGAGACCACAGGACACCTTCAGGCTCTTGTAGAGGCCATGCCTGGGCGGGACGGAGCTGTTTAGGCAACACGTGGAGGACCGACAGCAGGTGGTCATAATGTTTTGACTCATCATTGTATATGCACAAAAAATATATATAAATGCATGTATAATATAAAAGCATGATTGAAAAAAGGCCAACTATATAAACGTTATTTTAATTATTAGTTTCTCCTTGTATTTTAAAATTTACCAGCAGTCTATAATTGTTATTTTTTTCATTTTCAATTCATTGTGCACACTAGATATCAGTGGCAGCATCAGCGCTTGAGAAACTCAAATCTGTCATGCACAGAATGAAGAGAGGAGCATGTATGTTAAAGGAGGAGCCAGAGATGTGCAACAGTGAGAGGTGGAGTCTGGAGGAGAGGTTAATCTCACTAGGGGCCCAGAGTAACCTTACAACACACACACACACTTAACTAGCTATGTAAATAAGGGCATACCACAGACCCTAACCCTAAAAGTAATCATTTAGTATTTTTAGAATTAAAAAAATATATACATTAATTTTACATATAAATAATTTTTCCAGTTAAGGACATCTCTGAAGGGAGGTTTTATCCGTTTTATCTCCCTTCTGGAGATAAATATGCCCACAAACAACTCTTAAAAATAAAGGTTCCAAAACTGATGTCATTAAGGAACATTTTAGGTTCCCCAAAGAACCTTTCAGTGAAAAAGAACCATTTAAAAAAATCTAAAGAATCTTTTGTGCAATTGAAAGGTTCCGTGGATGTGAGAGGTTCTTCATGGAGCCATTAATGCCAGTACCTTTATTTTTAAGAGTGTTTAGCAAAGTGAAGCCACCTACATGAGCAACATATAAATCCATCCTTGCACAAACTAACATGATCACGTCACACACCGCGACAAACAGCAACATGCATTCGTGCAGGAAGACTGGCACAAGCACACAATGCACACGCACAAACACTGCAGGAGGTGCAGCATTCGGAAAAATCAAACACAAAGCTCCTAATGAAACACACACACACACACACACACTGCAGTGCGTTGATTCGGAGTGTGAGGGCCGGACGAAGCCACGCCTCCTTTCCCTTTTTTGTCTTTAACGAAATTCCTCTTTTAAAGAATGTTAGAGGACCCCAACCCCCACCACACACACACACACACACACACTCACACACATATATACGCACACTGAAATCCTCTTTACACATACAAACAAAATCACACTCAGACATGCGTTGTCTTTTCCTCCGATTCACACTCTCACTTCTGTCCTGGATTGGCACAAAAAGCTCATGGATTTGTAGAAGATTTGAAACACAGGGGGACTGTGTGTGTGTGTGTGTGTGTGTGTGTGTGTGTGTGTGTGTGTGTGTCAATGACTACAGGATACTGTATTGATGTAATTGTTGAATTAAGAGAGACTGTGTGCTATTATAATATTTTCCTTCATTACTACAAATCTACCTGCCATCTTTTATAAAAAACATGTATATGTGCCACAAGTATAAGTCTAATTCATATTTAAAAAAAACTGCCTTATCAGATTCAATACAAGAAGTCAAAGTGTTGCAATTGAAAAATAATGATATTAACATACTACACTGAAAACAAAAATTGGTGTATAAACTATTTTCACTCCAAAATTGCTATTAAATTTCACTAAGTTACAAAGTATTGGCAAGTAACATTAAATTAAACATGAAATTTTGAAGTAAAGAAGTATTAGAAAATAGTTTTTAAAAATAGTGGTCCCACTTTAGTTTAGGATCCAATTCTCGGTATTAACTATTCATTTATTTAGAAATAGTATTTTGTTGTAAAACACTCCAGTAATATGTTTACAACTTAAAAAAAAAATTACAGTGAATTCCTCAGATAATTAATATTACTTACTTCATATGATACTAATTCTTTTAGCTGTCATAAAAAGAAAAGCCAAAAGTCTAGGGGAAACTATAATAATTTTTAAATGAGAAAAATGTGATTTAATAAAATATATAAATCAGTTGTTAAGTCAGTAAGAGTTTTCAGCTGAATACTAATACAATTATGCTATGCTCTTTACATATTAAAAAAAAAAAAAATCAGCTTGTCAGTTCATTCATTTCCATAGCTACTTTTACAGTTTTACTATCACAACCTCAGAGCTATAATAAAATATTAAACCGTAGCTCAGTTTAATCAACAAGAGATAAATGCAAAGTGAAAAATAAATAAATAAAAATAATAATCTCTCAATTAAATTGATGAAAATCTCTCTTAAAGGAAAAAAAGCACCAAATTGTCTGAGTTACTGAGCATGTGCTGTAGGTCATAGGTTCGATTCCCAGGGTCGTAAAGACTGATAAAGAAAAAAATGTGGATAAAAGCATCTGCCAAATGCATAAATGTAATGTGTTAATCCAAATAATTCTGGCTTGTTTGTAACAAATTGTCCTTGTCTCCTTAAGTAACAGCAGATTCCGTTTCTGTCCAGAAAATCAGGGTTAGACAGACACACACAGATTGAATAATCAGCTGTACACACTCTTCTTATCACAAACACAATGCGCAACGGCTGCACATCCTAAACAACACACACCCTGCACAGCTTTTTCAATTTCACTGTAGCATGAACGCACATGTACGTGCAGCATTCAGACACAAAGAAAGAACACAAACAATCCTCCGCACAGCAGCCAAATGCAAATCTTTATCAGAGACGTTATGGATTACAGCTGCTTGTGATATTAGTCTGTCTAACACAAAGAAATGAGTGCAAACTCATTTGCCATCATCAAATTGTTTTATGCGTACATCACCATATATCATACACCCTGAGCTCTAGAACTGCATATTTGCTGGTTTCAGGATTTTCACACAGGATTGACTACACACTAATGTACATTGTTTCAAAAATGTCACAAAAAGGAAATAAAAGCACACAGCTCTTCCAGATGACAGACACGGCTCTTAATCAATACGCTTTCACACGCCTGGGCCATGAGGAAAAAGCAGCCCTCATTTTCCAAATGCATTCAATACAATTGTTTATTTCATGCTTATCAGAAGAACTGTTTTATCAGGAGTACAAAACGTTCTTACAATAACTACTCAAATGAATACAAGGCAGGAAATGTTCCTTGCTTATGAGTTAGTGTTACTGCAAAGATTTCACATACAAGATTTAACACAAAAATATAGTTTATAGTTAGTAACTAGTGCATTTATTGTGCATGTCAACCGGCAGTTCGGTGAACAATCTGTTGAATTTGTAACTCAGACATTGATATTTCTTTGATATACGTTGCCCTATATATACACTTATCTTACGCTCAACAGCACACATAACATTCTGACTGTGTCCTTGGTTAATGTTTATGTTTGTCTTTTTTGAGAACTGCATTTCCCAGAATGCACTCAGGTTAAGGGGCTACTAGCACAAGAGGTTCATGTTTTAGCTCATGCTCAAAAAAAATCATGTCCACACAAGATTTCAGATCAAATTTAAATTTAAAATCAATGAGATTTACCTTTAAAAAAAAAGTAAATAACTCTGCAAAACTGCATTTCAAATAATTTAGTACATATTTATGTAGCAAAACAAATCTTTCTCTCTGTTATCGAATTCCACAAATGTACCCAAATCAACATGCAACAATATAATTCAACAAAATTCTAGTCAATGATGTGTCCACTAATCACAATATGAATCCAGAAAGCAAAATATATTTTACTTCAAAGTGGTTCAGCAATTGTAATTCAGTTAAACACATTATAAAAGATTATTAAAACTTAATTTTTTTCAATAAAAATAGCTTTGAAAGACAGACAGACAGATGTATCCTTATGCACACTAGCTGTTATGTTATTGAATTTCAGATTTTAAAGGATTATGCAGATGTGTTTTGTAACAATGCAAATGTTCAGTCACATGAATCATTTTAACATCTCATTAACATCCAGCAGTATACATAACACTGTTCGACAATATTATCAGCAGCAACAGATAATAAGAACACAATGTATCAGAAAGCAGCATAATTCAGCAAAACTGACAGCAGAACAACAGTGCAGTGAATTCGGAAGGAACCTCTTGTTCTCTCTGCTTTTGTTCTTATAATCTGCATATGCTGTTTTGAGGTGCTATAGAAAGCTTGGGAAATGATGAAAGGAGATAAGTTCCGGTTTAGTACATATGTCCGTATTGATTTAGCTCTGAATGTCCATGAGAAGAGGACGAAATGTTGTGTAAAGGGGGCTGAACTACACCCATGTAAACAGGAGAGCACATGATGTTCAGTACAACAGTCCACCACACCGAAATAGCTTGCCAAGTTGCCATTCTCCAAAAGTCTGATTGTGAAAGCAGTCTGATCGTCGTGTGCTACATGTGACAGATTTCTCGACATGTTGGCAGGGTTATCAGACATGTTCCTGTGAGCATGAGGCGACTGTTGTGCGTGTACATAGCCTACCCTCTCTTTTCTCTTCCTAATGAAATCTTAAGGTTCCTTTAAGACGTGCATCGTAAATTCCTCAGTGTTTACTACTTATACGGCGTTCGTGTGATTATATCAATGGAGGTGATCCAGAGTAAAGATGTGTTTGTGGCGTGAGTAGTGCAGCTCTTAAAGTGACAGGAGATGAAAACGCAAGCGTGTTTTACTTCTGCTTTCCTCGAACACATCTACTGATGTCAATGAGTTGCGACAGATAACGTGAAAAAAGAGAGTCAGAAGAACGAGTGAAACCAAGATGTAGCATGGACTTACTTGGTGAACGAACACGTCTAGTGGAGGGTCCACTGGCTTCCCCTCGCTGCTGGTCATCGATATAAATCCAAAGCCCATGCGGACATTAAACCACTTGCAGTAACCCGAACCAGCCAGAATCTGCGGCGGAGTCCTAGTGGTGTCCGACCCACCACCGCCACCTCTGCGCGGCCCTCCTGTGCGGTCAAGGAAGAAAAGCCCATAGTGATGTACGCCCGTGTACGTTAATGAGATCAAGCCTATACTTTGTTCTCGTTGTACACATCGACCGTGGGTCTGCGTGGGCAGAGTTTCTAAGGGAAATCCCCAACTATACTACTACACAACAACACGCTTTCTACGCACCGATGTGTCTCACTTGTCTACAACCAGGGCCGTAATCACCATAGACGCCCCTCTCTCTTCTGTCAATCAATATATGAGGTTTTCAGTGACAGACTCTTAAACTTATACATTTTCTCCCCCCCCCAACCTTGTGTATTTCGTTACATCCTAGTCTACAACCACCTAAAACCCACCCTTTGGAAAACTGGATAAAGTCAATGAAAAGTAGAGATGGGATGGCGTAGTGCATTGCGAATGCTCAGTCTGCCTGGTTAGTAGCTTTAGCTACTATATAACTTCTAGTAGTCGTGCATCTAATGCATGTGAACCGCCTGGCGTGGGGCAGGTGTGCACACGTTACCCGCCCCTCCTCACTACCACTGGCGCAAACGGCTCTTCATCACACGTACAAACAACGTAAACAAAGCGCGGCGGTGCGCGTGGAATAATACGAGTTCCCATCTGAACGTAAAAAAATATAATTAAAAAAGCAAAAAGCATCGTAACCTTCGGCCATGTTTCCCCGCGGACCCTCCGTTCCAAAGTTCCAGCGAAATCGTTTCCTCCGTGAAATGGGGTGATGCGCGTCACCGTCGATCCGACATCCCGATTTCCAGCGGGCACAAATTTAGCGCGCATGATACGGCGTGCGTCTCCTTTTTGGATATTTTGTCATGTCTCTTTTAACATCTCCTGCTCTCTCTCTCTCTCTCTCTCTCTCTCTCTCTCTCTCTCTCTCTCTCTCTCTCTCTCTCTCTCTCTCTCTCTCTCTCTCTCTCTCTCTCTCTCTCTCTCTCTCTCTCTCTCTCGCGCGCTCTCCGTGTCTCATTCGCTCGCTCACAGCGCTGCACACGTGACTCCTCCGTGAGCCCGGGAGAGGGAGCGGACTCGGAACCGGGCTGGACTTCAGCTCTACTGCTGCGTCACGTAAATGCATCCGTTTGAACAGGTTCAGTTTTTTAACGCGTGTTAAGACGTCTAAAATCTTTATTTTTTCATGTTCTGAAAGTTATTGGAGGGGCCATAAAAAGTCCAGTATTTTGGGGATTTTTTCTCTTCCATTTAACAATTGTAATGATGCGTTAGTAACCAAATTCCAAACGCTGGTGACAGGCATTATATTTATAGTCTTATGAAAAATAGGCTACTTGTTAAAATAGGCCTATAACCCTTTATTTTTAATGTTCTCGCTTGGTGTAGGAAATGCAAACAGTTTTTGTATTTTTCAAGAGGTTTACTATTTCATTAAACAGTAGTCTAATAATCTTCTTGTTGTTGTAATTGAATTGATAACTTTATGTAATTACCTAATAAGACGAAAACGTTACATGCATTAGATGTCCTTTAAAATTCGCATAAAAATGAGATTTTCTTTTTCTTCTGCTGCTGGTGATGTCTTTCTGCTTTGGTTTAAACGTTTCCAAAACATTACTTATTATATTTGGGAGAAATGATTTATCGCTAATTGTCGTTTGTGGAAGCGCATTGCAGTTTGCATTTGTTGTTTTGCTGCAGTACAAACGTCAATGAGACTGATTTACAATAAGAAGAGCTTTATTGACCAAGTGCTCTCACACATACATACACACACACACACACACACACACACAGGGATTTGTTTCTGGTTTACGTGAGCTTTGAGGACGTACAAATAGGCCTATAGCCTACAAGTGGATAAATTAACAATAAACGTCTAGACAGAACAAACATAATGTCATTAAAAAGGTATGTAGGCTACATGTATTGCATCAGTATAGCCTATTTAGCCTACAAAAGCGGCATTATCTGTTTATTTATGAAAAGGCTTCATTGATCCAAAACAACGAGCATCGCTGTATTTATTGCAGTTTATTAATTGTTCTGCTAATACAAACATATTGGTATGAATTCAAAATGAAACCCATATATGTTCTAAAATTAAAATATGCAAGGAGAAATATAATCTTACATTTCATAGATCCTTTCTGTTGCTGTTCTCATTGAGTAGCTACTTTTGAATTGTATCTGTCAGTTCACACACAAAAACTGGAGCCAAATGTGCACCAAACCAACAAGTTGAAATGCAAGAATGAATGGGAAATAAGTTCAAACTGAGAACTGAACTAAAAACTGAATGTTTTCGTTTCTATAAGTTATTCGTTCAGTAAATGTTTCTGACAACCTCGTGATAAAACCTGATAGCTTGGCTGAGGATGTTTTTCTGTCTTTTAAATCAGAGGAAAAACACGTTGGAGGAGTGAATCAACATCTACCCCCACCGCTTCTGTGCCCCGCCCATTCACCCCCACCCCCCACCCATCTCTGCCGACCACCCTTCGGAATTCACCCCTGCCCCCAATCCCCCCACCCCTTGCAGCAGTGTGTGTGTGTGTGTGGAGGGGATGGATGGTGGTCGTGCCATTACGGCGCAGGTCACGGATCTGGTCACCGGTGTTAGATGTTATGGAGTTTCTCATTTCCTGCACGAGGGTTTCCCATCCACCATTCATAAAACAGCCCCGCGAGTGCCGGGAAACACGTCCCACGAGGTCACGGACACACCCTACATGTCCCCGTTTGATCCCGTTAAACCACCGAATATGTTCTCCGGCACATATAGATAAAAAAAGATCTTAGATACTTAGATTATCTTTTATTGGAAACGCATGACTGTGAGAATAATATAAAGCAACGGCACTGATCAGATATTGATTTGAGGTTTTAAAAAAATACGCATTTGATTTTGGAGTTTAAATAAAACAGAAGCACCAGCGAGGCATAAATCAGCCGCAGGTTTAGTTCTGGTGAATATTTAATGTAGGCTAACAGATTATTGATTTTGACCTGTTGAGTTTAATGCTTGACAGAATAACATCAATTTAAAATCTTCCCTAAAATCTACATGTAGATATATAACAGTTATGAACGCGTTGGTTTAATTTTAAGCTCTTTTTAAATCAATGACACTTATGTAATGCAAATTATATTTAAACGTGAAATAAAACAGTAATAGCCTACTAAGGCACAAAAAAGGGCTCAATTTCAACTGTTCAGTTATAACTCTTTATTGGCATTGATGGTTCCATAAAGAATATTTAACATCCATGGAACCTTTACATTACAAAAAAAGTTCTTTATAATGGAAAAGGGTTCTTTAGATTATTCAAATGGATTTCACAATATTTTTTTTATTTATTTTAAGAACTGATCACTGAAATGTTCTTTGTGGAACCCAAAATGGTTCTTCTAAGGCATCACTGTAAAAGAAAAAAATAACTTTTGGAACCTTAATTTCTATAAGTTTGGATTGTTTAAATCCTAAGTATAGTTCATAAAGTTTAACTTTTAAAGAATATCTTCTTTTCTTTTTAGAACAAACCAACTTTTCTGATCATTAAAATCCAAACTCATAATCAACCACCAAAGAAATTAAATCAGGGAAATTATTATCAAGACTATGCAAATGGTGCTATTGAAATGCAAAATGGTTTACCAATTGACATTTTTATTCAAATGCACAACATTTAAAAGAAAACACATACTGAACAAAAGCACCCTGAAAACACTCATTGGGTCTTGAAAGTGCACGGTCGTTTATTTGGACTTCCCAACAGAATATGAAAATACTTGTTTAATTTACTTTAATTCAAGTAGGCTAATTCAATTTAAATATTTTTTGTAACATTGCAGCAGACAAAATCCCAGTTTAACCCATCCGTAATCTGAGTTTACAACAGAAGCTTTCCAGAGATGCTTTGTGCTTAAAGCAAACAAACTGACTGGAGGGTTTCTTGGGCTGTTTGGATGTATTGAGCAGTTGTGATCCGCCATCCCTGCACCTCACCCGTTCAGCCGTTCACCCACCCCCACCAGCCGAACCCCCGAGCGAACGCATACTTGTCAATAGAGTTCACAAGAGTTTATTCGGCTCTTTTCTTTTGGTTGCATTCGTTCAATTCCTCCACCTCTCCGAAATTATCTACCGAAGCCAACACAAACCCGACAGTTTTAGAAGCCATGAAACCGATTCAAAACTAATCAGAGGTAAATATCCAGTACATGGGGGAGAGAATTGAAATGCTTCATTCTCAGTTTTACACGTGAAGGCTGCTGCTACATCATTGTTCTTACAAAGAGCAATACAATGTGCTTTCATTAGAAGGTAAGGACTTCTTCAAAACATAGGCTACACGATATCAGAATTATATTAGTTCTAAAAACAGACATACATTTTAAAACCAGATATAAATTAGTTTTAGGGGTTGGTTAAAATAAGAGATCTTAAATTAAATCGATTTTCTACAACACGCAGTTTCCTGAAGGTTAATTGTCACAGTCCAATCTGAGTGTAAAAACAAAAAGACTTGAGACAGGGAGATGAGCAGTTTTTTCTTTTGCCAATTTTTACATTTCAGATGTTTTTTATAGGCCTATATTTTTCGTTTCCCTTAAATTGGAAAAACGTTTTAAAAACGTTATTGGATTTCAGATTTGTTCAGGCAGATTTGTCAGATCTGCCTAATTTCTGTTTAAAAACAATGTTTACATGCTTTTCTTGACAAAATTCTTAACAAACAAATTCACATGTTAAAATTTTGTCTGGACGATTTAAATAGCCTATACATGAAAACGACTCTGAAAACTGGAAGCTTGTATTTGTTCATTTATATTAGTTTATTTTTATTATTTTATCATGGTTAATCTTTTTTTAAATGTATGAACTGGTTGCATGTGTTATCTTTGCTTCAAAATAGCTAGATTACTCAACATATACCACATTTAAAATGTATTCTATACACTCTACGCATTTTAACAGCTCGCATCAGCATTCCCTGTAAAGATAGTAACATCTAACGCGGGTTATTTATGTTGGTGGCTGATTCAGCCATTACGTCACAATTAAATCATGACGTCGAACGGAAGTATGAACAGAGCATTCGGGAAAATGTTTTTCCTCTCCGTCTGTCTTTGAGTCGCTCACTGCTTGTAAAACTGCACGGACGACGTGAGTCACGTGACGACGTTTTTTTTCCTCTGGTTTAACTAGTTTAATCACATGTTATGATAGGCAATATGATTGTGACATAATAAAGGTCCACAAGCTCTCAGACCATTCGAACTGTTTATCTGCTTCTATAATGTTCATGCGCTCACAAAGGATATTATTGTTATGTTCGTATTTGTTTATAGTCTACACACACTCTATATCTCACTCACCTGGAATAGACACGGCCATGCTGTATGAACTCCGTGTCTGACCCTGTGGATGAGTCAAAATAGTGCAATGATTATTTTTGATTAATATCTAAATTCTTCTTCTGTTGCATGTTTTAGGCTAATGCACCGAGCGAGGTTGGTTTCTGTTTTGTTTGGGCTGCTGGTGGCTCGTTCGTTTGTGCCGAATAGAGGAATTTTCCAGCATGAATATTTAATCGAGCTTGTGAAATTTAAATCGCTCCTTTAATACAAACCGCGAATAATGTGCAGGAAAATCTCATTTAAAGCGCACAAACACGCGCTTTAATTTGAGATACACGGAGTTGTCCAAATAGCCTTTAATGACAATATGCCAATTTAAGTATTATTATTATTTACGCGCGTGTTTTATTGTGATGCTTTTAAGTTAAAGTCAACAGTGTAGGCTACATAAAAATATGAAATTATGCAGGCATATGCCTACCTGTAGGCTATAAGCTATATGATGTGAAGAGATCTTTACGTTTCAGATCCAGAATGGTGTGGATAATTAAAGAAAC